GCTGTATCTCGCGATATGTAGATGTGTTTATGTATATAACTGATGTTAGAATTCAGTTGTATTAATGTGTAGTGTTGTCGTTTGAATACAGCGGTGATGTTGGTGTTAGCACACAGGTGCGTGTCTATATATACACATACAAACATTGCCACACAAAATACACACACATACACCGTTACACAGAGATACACATAGACACATACACGGATACACAGAGACACACAGATGCACAAATACACGCACACATGCATGTATACACACACACACTGGTGTGTCCCTTTGAATACATGTCTAAATATCTGAACATATACATTTCCCAGCCAACAGCCATAACCTGCCAGAAAGAACTGTCATATTTGAGTGAATAATATTTGTGTGAAGAATGTTAAAACGAAGAAGAAGATCAATGTATCTGAAACATCACCCTTCATATTCATCTATTATTCAGATACCAATCAGATTAAATCTAACCGTGAGCTAAAAATACTTTGTTCCCCTTGGAGAGAAAAATACTATGGGGCTAGTCACCAAAGTGTGAATTGAACGTGTAAGTCAGCTATGTTTTTACTTTGGTTTATTATGGCTTAAAATTTTTAATTATATTACAATTCACACTTTATTGAATAATCGTGAGAAATTGTTTTAATATTAAACACATGGTCACATTCATTTTTTCAGAACAAACTAGACTTCTTGGCAGACATGCACGTTAGTAGTTCTTGAAGCACTATCATGAAATAATGTAGTGTTCCCCCTCCCCCTTCCAATAAAAAAAAAACCTGCCCAATCATTATTTTGGTTATGAATGATACATAGATTAAACAATGCAATACATTTACACATTAAATAAAACCAAACTAAAATATTAAAGAGAACCCGCTGTGTGCTGATTTAAATTCTTACTAGTAAACCCAGAGGGAGCTGTTCTTCCATAAATGTTATAAACACCAAGCATCGTAGGCACAGACTACTCGATAAACTAGGGCAGACTTCACACTCCTTCACAGCGTAAATAACCCTTTATCTGCCACAGAGAGGGCGATAAACAGGAATGTGTGTTCTTTACCATCTGGCATTCTTTAATAGATTACATAAATGAGACATTAACTAAGCCTTGTTTATCAACTGTGGCCTGCATCAGTACTATAAACAGTCTCGCCTCTCTGCTGTATAATAAGTATTGCTTTCGTTCCAGATGCTAAAATTTACATTTCTTAAAGTGACGATGTTATTCATGTTTGTTAATATTGTGTTTCAATGCATAGCTTTTTATAGAGCGTTGCTTTCATTACAGATGGCTTATACAATTTATTTATATGTGTCTTTTAAAGAAACACTAAAGCATTAGGAATATAAACATATTCCTAACGCGTGTTACCCAACCTGTAGATGGCCACTCCTCAATTTACTTACCTTTACTATCTTGCCGCAGTCATCCTGCCTCTTCAGCTGAGATCATCAAATTTAATAATCTCAGCCAATCCAATTGCTTCCCAATACACAGAATACAAAGCTGCACAAGTTAAGTGATCTCTCTTAGACCAGCTGATGGAAGAACTGAGTTTGCTCATTTATTTAAAATGTGAACATTGTTTCTACAGAAAGGCAATGTTTAACCAGGGAAGAGTTAAAATGAGAGGACCATTGCACCCAGTCCACTAAATTGAGATTAAGTAGTCTGGGTGACTTTGGTGGTCCTTTAAAAACCTGTGCCATAAAGTGGGATTGCCTTTTAGATCTTTAAACTAATGCTGCCCAACCCTATCCCTGTAATTCTTCATAAACCACAATTCCCATTATTTTCTGACATCAAAGAACAAGGATTTGGGAGAGAATTATGAGAACTGGAGTCCAAAAATAACTTTAACATCACGGTAAGACATGTCTGTTTGAAAGCAATACAATGGCCACATTAATTTTCCCTTTTATTACATGATGGCTTAGTTGGTTAAAACACCAACTAAAATATTTTACATTTTTATATTTCCAGGATCAACGAAAATAAGTATCATAGCATGTATATATCCCAATGTGTAAGAGAAAAACTAAATTTACAAAGAGACATTAGACATCACTGTTGGGACATTCTGGTGATACTCTAATCCATTGAAGCATATGAGGGCTGGTGTTCTTCAATATACAGGGTTCATTAGGACTCTAGAGGCAAATACTTGCTGCTCAACAAGGACAAGTCTTTGGTGGAGTATCGTTGAAATTACTTAGATGGGAGGCAGTATTCGAAAGTTAAGGTGGTTGCAATGTAATTATTATGTGCAAGAGAAGATACACATCAACATGGAATAGACTAGACGTATAATGTTCGTTTCTATCAAAGCAATTTTGTATTTCTTTCCCAGAAGAGTAAATAAAAAACCAACACATTTTCAAATAAAAATAGGCACTCACATCCAAACAATTTCAGATGAATTTTTTGTGAGTAGAAAACCAGGCAAATAAGGAAGATGTGCCAAAACGTCCGTCAACCATCTGCGTGTCTTAATATGCTTTTAATAGCCTGGAACATTTAATATGGTAACAACTACATGTTCTGGCTATAATGCTTCAGGGTTTTTTGTCCTTTTTTTAAAAAAAATTGTGTTTGCTTTTATATTTTTGTTTTAGTTATTTACATACTATCAAACACAAACTCAGATTAATATAAATCTAGAAATTGTATGAATTTATGGAAATTTTGCATATTAATCCTTCCACAAATATCTTCCTTTTGCTTGAAAATCATCAAGGTGGTGCTTAAAACAGCCAGTCCAACATGCCGTCTTTATTAGATAAGTAAGAATTCAACAAAGATTCTCCATTAGTCTGGCAGTGGTGGTCTTCACAACGATCTTGATGAGTGCCTGTGGGATAAGTGTCATTCTCACCCTACTAAAAAATGTTTGCTAAAAGAAGACCACATAAATGCACATGAATAGTTTTATATATAAGCCTTGATGATATCTATAGATGTCAATTCCCAACCTAGATGGGTACTGTTCTTTAGCTCAAAATTACTGCCAAAGTGGGTTTTCGTATTTGTTGCACAGAGCTTGCATATTGCTCTTTAACACGTGAGTGGTTCCAAATTGCCATGCACAATGGTGTTATTAATATATAAGGCTGAAATATTGTATAACTTTATACAATAATTATATGCACAAATCAATCATGGACTATGAAAGAAAATTCTAGGCTCTGTTAATGTGACTGGTTATACAATTTGGGATCATCTAAATATCAAAGGTTTCAGTTCTAAATTTTTAGAGATGATGGGAGATCCATTTTCATTTTACAGTGCCGGAGTACCGGCACCTGGGTAAAAACATTATATAGAACACTGGTGAGACCTCACTTGGAGTATTGTATGCAGTACTGGACACCGTATCTCCAGAAGGATATTGATACTTTGGAGAGAGTACAGAGACTGGCTACAAAACTAGTTCATGGATTGCAAATTAAAACTTACAAAGAAAGGTTAAAGGATCTTAACATGCATTGCGTGGAGGAAAGATGAGGCAGGGTAATATGATAGAAACATTTAAATAGATAAAGGGACTCAACACAGTAAAGGAGGAGACTATATTTAACCCCTTAAGGACACATGACATGTGTGACATGTTATGATTCCCTTTTATTCCAGAAGTTTGGTCCTTAAGGGGTTAAAGGAAGAAAAACTACCACAACAAGAGGACATAGTCAAATTAGAGGGGCAAAGGTTTAAAAACAATATCAGGAAGTATTACTTTACTGAGAGGGTAGTGGATGCATGGAATAGCCTTCCAGCTGAAGTGGTAGAGGTTAACACAGTGAAGGAGTTTAAAGGACCACTATAGTTCCAGGAAAATGCCATACTCGTTTTCCTGGCACTATAGTGCCCTCAGGGTGCCCCCACCCACGCTGGTGTCTTCTCACTGTGATTTTCACAGTGAGAAGCATGCAAACGCCTCTAGCGGCTGTCAATGAGACAGCCACTAGAGGCTGGATTAACCCATTTATAAACATAGCAGTTTCTCTGAAACTGCTATGTTTATAAAAAAAAATGGGTTAACCCTAGAGGGACCTGGCACCCAGACCACTTCATTAAGCTGAAGTGGTCTGGGTGCCTAGAGTGGTCCTTTAAGCATGCGTGGGATAGGCATAAGGCTATCCTAGCTATAAGATAAGGACAGGGACTAATGAAAGTATTTAGAAAATAGGGCAGACTAGATTCATTTTAAAGCAGAGCTGTCACTTTTAATTTTATTTTCAAAGATTCCACAAAGTGACATGTCTATGTGTAGTAGCCAAAGGGGAAGGAGTTAGGCATATATACTTACCTTAAGCTGTCCCTCCTCAGTGTTGTCTTCAACTCCTGGTAACTTCAAGTACCAAGAGCCATTATCACAACTGTAGTCTCAGGTATGCATGATAGTACAAAACAGAGTTTTGGAGGATTCCAGAGACTGGGGAATCTTTCATATATATATTATAAAGCATACGCAATCAGGTGCCATAGACATCTGTTGGACATCACACGAGACAATGTCTGTTTTCTTCAATTATCGTGACTGGCTGATGCAAAATGTAGACAAAAACTAAACCTTTTATCAAAAATGTATACTTACAGGAGACAAAGTAGTCCTTACTTTGTCTCAAGTATATCTTTTTAGTGCGCTGCAATTTTTCACACAGATTCTACCTTTATGATAAGTTGAAAAATTTAAAAAAGATGCTTTAGATTTAGTGTAGTTAAAAATAACACTTTACTTAAAAGTTAAAATCACAGAAGCACATTTTTAGAGCATGTCTACTTTTGCTATAATTATTCTGGGTTATCTAGATTATCTATGGCTATGGGGGAAGAAAAATTTACAGTTACGGATCTTTTGAAGTCTTGTTACATCTTGCAGTGTTGTGTTTTCAGCCAATCAGAATGGAGTTCTGAAAAAAACTTTATTTCTGCAGTACAAACTGTTCTCTGATAACACACTTATAAATAGGACTGTACAAAATACAATAGGTCACCCACTTAGACTTGAAGAAAGGAGATTTCACCTACATCAGTGAAAATGGTTATGTGCAATAAGAACAAATAGTATGTTGGATTCTCTGCCTGAAGAGGTTGTGTTAAACGTCTAGAAGATTGTGTGCTTTAAAAAAAAAAATTATATTCAAGGATATAATAGTTAATATGTGGAGTAACAACTTGTTGAAACAAGAAGTCTGACTGCCATTTTGGAGTCAGAAATTTATATTTTTTCATTTGTGGCAACACTGCAAATTACTTCAAATTGGGGTTTTCACCTTCTGTTGGATCAACAGTAGTGATAGAGATGTGTGAAGGGCTGCAATTGATGGACTGGAGTCATTTTAAAAATCTATATAACTACATACGCTGACATTATGGAAATTAGGGGGAGAATTATTAGGACAAAGCATCTAAACTTCTGGGGAAAAGTGCTAAATAGAAAGCAATCACTATGGAACCAACAGAATGTTTCTCAACATTTAGCACTTGGTCCCCAGAAAAGCACTTGTTTTTTCCGTTGGTTAATCTTCCCATAAATATTTAAGATTATTGAAACCTGTTTTATACGAGTCATTATCAAGGCATTATTAGACTGTATAATCACATATGTAAAAGCTTAATATCATATTTTTTTTGTAATTTTTATTTTATTTTTCAGAATAAGTTTTTAGGACTCACAGCCTGAATTAACAAATTACAAAATGGCAGCATTGTTTTAATATCTGTGTGTTGATACAAAAAAAATGTAAAAAGCATGAAAAGTACATTCCATAGCCAGTATCCACCGTGTAACTAAGTATATCCAAAATACCTATACATATCGTAAGTAGATGAGATGCTTATGAGTGATTGTTTACACAAAAAGAACATTCATACATTCAAAGTGTTTAACATTTTACCTTGATTAAAAATATATTAAAAAAAAAAAAAAAAGAATATGCCTACTTTGCCAAATGAAGGCTATAATGGATAAATAAATCTAACCATAGAAGCATTTAAAAAGTGTAGACAACACACTGTGCAAAGGAACCTTATCTACACTCTATGCAAATACCCTGACCATATATAAATATATTATTGTGCTATGCTAAATCACTTCAGTGCAGAAACATGTTTTCACACAAAACGAATTGTTTTTTGTTTTTTTTATAGCTGATCGTCACAGCACTTTGATTCATAAAATGTTGAAAATGAATTTCAATCCATGGAGCTCCACCATTGATTGGACAGTGAAGAGCTTATCATATTCTTTAAACCAATGGGAAGTTGTCTGTCAGCCGTAGATATCCATGGCTACTAAAAAAAATAGTTGTTGCTATTGATGCACAAATTCAGTGGCAGCAGCCAATGACAGGCACAGACAATAACATTCAGCCAATCAGTGAGCAGGACAACACGTTTTCAAGATGATAACTGCTTTCATTGATTGTTTTGCAATAATTACAATACTCTTATGACCATTTTGCTGATTATGTTACACGAATGCTGAACTCTTGACAAACACTCCTTTCAAGTAAAATACAAAGGTCACCAATATATATATATATATATATATAGGAAGTGCTTTAAGAAAAAAAATAAATTGCTGTACTCAAGGTCAAAAAAGTAGGTCATTATTTAATTTATTTAACAACTACCTGTGAGGTACCATATTGTCCTTAATAAAAAAGATGGCTCACTGTAACTATTGCTTGACGGTTATCCTCTGGAGTTAACACAAGATCACTGGTTGTAGAGGAATTAAACTGAGCTCCTCTTAAGTTCTGCTGTATGTGTAGCTGCCCTCGTTTCGCTGGTGGCATCAGACGCATGTTATATATCAACCAAGTTTAGTGAGCTGAAGGTCGCCGTTGATTTTAACGGTATCGATAGCTGATAGTGTTTCGACTCGATGGTAAAAATCAAAGAGCTGGTGTCCATCCACAAATAGCCTGAAACGCGGGTGTTCACAAAGTATTTCTATCTACAATAAGAGAGACATATTAAAATGAGTAAACACGATAATAAATTCTCTAAAGCAGTGGTTAGGCAACTTTAGACACTGCAGATTTTAGGAAATACAACTCCCATAATTCTCTTACGGCCATAATGCTGGTAAAGCATTAGGGGAGATGTAGTCCACAACATCTGGAGTGCCAAAAGTTGGTTGCATCTGGTCTAGACCACCCTCTCCATGTCCGTTTGCTAATTGACTTCTGTTTGTATATTTCATGACGATGTTGAAGTCCACGTGAAATCTTAAAAAAAAAAAATCAAAAACATTCCCAAGGTCATACGAATGTTTACATAAACCAAAACTGAAAGAATAAATGGAGGAAGGCTAATAAGCACTTTGGCCTTTCTGAATATACCAGAAGGATTGTTAGGGAGGTGTTGCAAGGAAGCAAAGGGACTGTATAAACTTCAAAGTCTCTGGATTACCTTTCTACAAATTAAAAGGTTTTTCAGAGTGTGACACATCTGACCAACAATTATGTAACAGGAAATAACAAATATTTAGATTTTTGGTATATTTAATTAAAAGTTGTTTGTGCTTTAAATGGACTCTCCACGCACAATAACCACAGCATTTTACTTAATGGTTATGATGAAAGGGGGCTATCGGTGAATTCACTCCAGTTTTGTCAAACTATTTTTACAAAAAAATTGCCTCCTGTGGCTATCAGATTAAAATTACAACTGTCTCGTCAACATAACAACTACAAACTCCTAAAAATTGAGGTTAAAATAGCCAAGCTCTTACTACAACTAAACTGGAGAATTATTTTCAAATAAGCAATTTTTGGCAAAGCATACTTCCTTAGAGACAAGCAAAAGGATCACGTTAATTGAAGGACTGAATTATTACCCTAACGAATATTACACTACACGTTAAGGATAGGTTTAAGAATGAGGAGTCATTTGACATTCCCATAGTTAAACAATACACTTCTAAAATTCTTTGTGACAATATAGAAAATAAGAAATGGAAAATGACACTTGGCAGAAGGCATGCTATATAGGAGTGTCATTCAATTCTTTTTACCGAGAGTACTGTATACCACTCCAGGAGCCGGGTGGGAACATTAATGAACCCATGATCTCATATAATAGAACTTATGGGGTTTTTAGACAGAATGTGAATCATAAAAAGAAAATCGTAAGAACTGTCATACCTTATTTTACAATAGTTAAACTACAATTAAATTCGTACTAAGAGAGTCTGGTACCATGTGAGCTGCATATCATACAACACTGTCTCAGTTAATATCTACACAATGTGATCCAAATGCATATATACCAATTATTGGCTTAAACATATCTGTAATTATACAAAACATAACAAAATATGCTATCATATTGGCAAATGCCACATTGTCTTATATTATTAAGTCAGCACAACTGTACAGGTCCAAAGTCCCAAGAGGTTCAGCCACATGCAATCTAACGCTACAATTGTTGGATAATACAACTCACATCATACACACAGAACCTTAAACTAAAGAAAATATGTTTCTCTGATTGAAACACACTTCCGTATGTTAGGTACAGCCCAAAGGATTAAAAAAAAGGTTTGAAGTAATATATACACCGTGAAAATCACAGGGTGGATCTCCTGAAAATGCATAACTATAGATAGACTGTAGCAATTCTGTAAATGTTGTGACTCATTGGGAAGAAAATAACATAAGGGCAACACCAGATCAGTCTTTTATTGGATTTCTCTCTTATCTAATACTATCCTTACCTTTTGTGTCACTATACCACACTCCCTCTAGCATGTAAACTCATTGAGCAGGGCCCTCAACCCCTCTGTTCCTGTGCGTCAAACTTGTCTGGTTACAAATACATGTTTGTTAATCCACCCATTGTAAAGCGCTATGGAATTTGTTAGCGCTATATAAATAATAATATTTGTATTTAAAGGGATATTTACTAATACAGGAAATGCTAGGGAATGACTAAAGGAATTGTAGACCAAACTGGCAGAACTGGAAATATAAAGTTGGACAATATTTTCTGTTTGGCTACCCTAAAATTAAAAATTGTAACTTTGAAAGAAAACAAAAACTGAAAATGTATTCAAAATTATTTCAACTATAAGGCCAAAGTAGCTGAAGTGGAATCATAGCTGATTTGGGAAATTGTTTCCAATTCAGCAATTTGGGGTTAAAATTTAAATTAAAGGATAGTGCGCTAGTACATAGTTAGATTGGTGGGCTCACACAACTGCAAAATAAATGGTTTTCAAAAAAAAAGTTTTACTTACCTTTTCTCCAGTGCTGAGACTCCCTCGGTGCTGCTGCCCTCTCAGCCTCCTGTGACGTCATCCAGGTGGCGTTGCTTTCTCGGTAATGGTCCAATCCACACTTCCTCGTGGAAGACGGCCGGGGACATGATGTGCATGTGTGCCAACCGCCGTCCAATCAAATGCTTCTCATAGGAAAGCAGTGAATCCTACGAGCTACATTTGTTCACATGAGTTGTGTTTAACCCTGCAATGGAAACATTGGAGTTCCTGCAAAACTGCAGTGTTTTACATTGTATGGTTAAAATGACAGGACAACTTCACACCCATATTGAGCGATCTGGGTGCATTTAATGGTTATTTCACTTTGCATTCACGACAATTGTCCCTTTAGTAAATAACTATATGTGAATAATCTGCAATGATTTCTACCAATACTGTCCTACAGCTCATTCAATCAGAAGCCTGTCACAGGAAAGGTGACTTGGAAGTCGGAAGCTGCAGGAACGTGGAACGTAACCTTTGCGTATGACGCTTTTATTCTTTCAAAATCCTCTGTTATTGTAAAGCACTGATCCAAAATTGCGGAACTGGAATAAAAATCACCAACTTGGCTATTTTTCTAGCTTAGATTGTTCGGCCTAAAAAAATACTACTGTTTCCATAATTGCCTGTTCGTGAATACGTCCTTGAGGGCTACATTTGTATTAGATGAGTTCTGCTTATCTCTTCTGTTTGAATATAATTTTTCCCTTTGATGTCAATGAAAAAAAACTATTAAATTATAAGAGATAAGCTTATCTTATTCTAAGCTTAGTCTATATTTCATGTCAATTTTTTATCGTTGCTGTTTCATTTCTTAAAAGCGATATAGAACTAACGGTAGCTTGTTTTGAATAACTAATACCATTGTGCAAAAACCTTTTTTGCTGCGTTAAACAAATCAAGTACCTGCTAATCTATGCCTGAATGATTCTTTCTGTCCATGATTTACCTGTGGAGTCGGATGGATCAGTTCCTTTGGGCATAGATTAGCATGACTTTGATTCATTTCACACAGCTGAAAAGGAGCTGTGCACAAGTCTATTAGTTATTAGTAAATACAATTTTTTTGCAATAGTTAGTTATATGCAATAAAACAGGGTAAATACAAGGCACCAGGTCGCCATGGCAACTAGAAATTTTGCCCTGGCGTATGGGATTTGAAGCCCTTTAGCTAAAGGCAGGATGGGGGAACAATGGAGCCGGCCCGTCGACCTGAGAGCGTGGACGGCCGGCTCAGGGGGCGTGTAGGCGTCTGCCTTGGGCTGCATGGAGGTGCCGTCCTGGGGTAGTGTGCGAGGGAGCAGTGATCTTACTGCAGCTCCTCTCTGCTCCCTCGCGCACTTTGGTGATATTACGTCATCCCGGCCCCGGCATCAGTACAGGGAGCAGAGAGGAGCCTCACTAGACCCCAGAGAAAGATCCACTCAGCTCTCCCAAAGGTAGGAAGGCTAGGTGGATTCAATTTAAAATGAAAATGTCAATTTGTGTGTGTGTGTGTCTCTGTCAGTGTGTGGTTTGGTGTGTGTCTCTGTCAGTGTGTGGGTTTCTGCCTCTCTGTCAGTGTGTGTGGATGTGTCACTCTGTCAATGTGTGTGTGTGTGTCTCTGTCAGTGTGTGAGTTTGTGTGTGTCTCTCTTTCAGTGTGTGTGTGTGTGTGTGTCAGAGTGTGTCTTTTTCTGTGTCTGTTTAGGTGCCTGCACCCTTCCGATCACGAGAGAGGTGTTTTTACTCATCTTCTTCACGCTGTGCCAGTTTTCCGCGGCTTGTCCTGTCTTCATGGCTGAGATAATCAATCTTTAAGATCTCAGCTAAACCAATGCTTTCCTATAGTATATAGGATATTGCGCACGTTCTCTATGGGTAACATGCAGAGCGTGGAGACGCTGAACACAGGACTCTCTAGGTGCCGTCTGAGTGACTGTCTCTAGAGGTTTTTCTAGGTAGCAATGTAAACACTGCCTTTTCTCTGAAAAGGCAGCATTTACATTGAAAAGGCTACAGGAACAGGCTATAGGCACCAAAACAACTACATTAAGCAGTAGTGGTTCTAGTGACTATAGTGTCCCTTTAAGAATTCTATATTTCTCGTAAATTACACTTTGCTAGTTTAAAAAAACAAAAAAACAGCTCCTGACTTTTTAAGCTGGCTCCTAGATTCCAAACAAATGTGTCAAGCCCTACATTAAAAATATTTCAGATTTTTGTACATACAAGCAAACTCTTTTTAAATAACTCTCTGCGTATCTTAAATTTGTTTTGTCCATCTGCGTAAAAAAAAAAGTGAGAAAATAATGGAAAGTATGTATGTTGATATAGTTATTAAATGGTCACACATCTAAAATATATTAGCTCTCAGAATGAGAATTAACATTGTGTACAAATATGATGTAAGGAGGGTGGTAATACTGGTTTGCTTACTTTTTTTTTTACTTGCCACTATTTATTCATTAGATCGGAACAGACTCTTCGTTGTACGCTGCCATTTTTTTAGGGAAGTGTTTTTCAGACAAAAAGGGCAAATTTAATTGCTATTGACAATTTATGACCAGCCCTTTTAACCCTCTTTCGGTCATGCTACTATTAAACTAATTGCATTTATTCTGGGTAAATAGTGATACGTTTATATAGATTATATTTACAGCTTCTTGTGAGCCCTCCATGTGTACCAACAGAGCCACTGACTATTTGCAATATCACTGAAAGGTGAACATATCACTGGAAGGTGGAGATATATTGGAGGGGCAAAAAGCCATAGAAAAGTGTTGTGTTTTCCAAAAAATACCTGTCAGCTTTTATGGGGATCATTTTAGCTATTTTAAAATATGGTAGTCTTGAAATTACATGGGTGGTATTAACCCCTTAAAGACCAATAACATATTGCACTTTTATCGTAGTCTGGTCCATCAAGACCTTAAGCCATCAAGGTATGTCCTACTTTTTATATATCTCTCTATATATCAGTGTCGCTATACATGTGAGATGTTCCACTTTTTAATAGGACCTTTCAAGGACTGATTGTTATCATGGCCTTACTTTAGAGGTTACATGAACTTCTGAAAAAAAGATTGCGGTTCGAGGTGGACCACCAACAGATGTTTCCCTACAGCATCAGTCATTTTAAGAGAAGCCCTGTTAAAGGATGACTAGCAACTGTTTCAGATTCCAGTACCAGACATATGCTAAATATGCTTTAAATAATGCATGTACAGTTCATCTTACACGAATAGCTATATTCAAGGGAATTCCTCTATAGAAAATTCAGATTTATAAATTCAAATGAAGAAAACTGGCGAAATAAGAACTAAGAAATGAAATCCTTTTTTTTCTTTTGCTAATGGATAGGCCTGTTAATTAAAAATATCAGAGCAGGTATATTCTGCACCCAGCTGCTTTACTCTCAAAGTCATAATCTGCCCTTGGCAAAATTAATAGGGAAAAAAAAAAGAAACATTTCTTTAAAAAACTATTTGCATCAGCAAGAGTCTGGGATCCATTTCTAACTGATGATTTATTTCTACCAAATACTGTTCACAGTTTTCATGCAGATGACTAAATACTGAGATACACAAATGGTTATTTACTGATAGAGAGCCTGTATGTCCACAAATATATTTTGAATGCATATAATTAACTTAAATTTAAAATAAATTAAAAATTTAATTATTTACTCAAATTTGAACAAATATTTCCTAAGCCCTAAAAATTTACTTTCATTAGCTGCAGAACTGGCTTCTGGCTTCTGAAACTAATTAGAATTCACTCTTCTTTTTGAACAGCACGTACTTCCTTGTTTAATCAAACCCTATAAAGCAATTGAGAGGCCTTGAATGATGAAACCCCTTTTCCTAGTCAGGGAGGGCTCTTCCAGAGGCTGCATTTGGCCTGTCTCGGTTGTGCGGCTTCAGGATCTTGGAAAATAAATATCTATTTTTTTTGTTTTGTTTTTTAGAGGGTTGTGGGGTGGAGGCTTATTTTGAATGCATTATAATTATTCATTAAAATATGGGGTAATTTTTTACCATGGTTTTCTTTTAAGACATACTATACAATATTGCAATTAAATTGAGCCAAATTGAATGAGCCTGGGGCCTGAATAACTCAGGGGCTAATTCTAATACTTACCGATAAGTCCACTGGCTGCACTGCACAAGATTCAAGGAAATAATAAACAAATGAGTGAGGATAAACAGAGTTTATGATAACCTATCATCTCTTGTCACTGAATGTGTGCAAGGTTTGTGACCCATAAACACATAGTAGTCCCAAAAAAACCTCTGCAACAGTAGGAGAGTTATGACAGGTGGAGGAGGGCTGATTAAAGGACCACTATAGTGCCAGGAAAACATACTCGTTTTCCTGGCACTATAGTGCCCTGAGGGTGCCCCCACCCTCAGGGTCCCCCTCCCGCCCGGCTCTGGAAGGGGGAAAGGGGTTTAAACTTACCTTTTTTCAGCGCTGGGCGGAGAGCTCTCCTCCTCCTCTCCGCCTCCGTTACGCCCCGCCGGCTGAATGCGCACGCGCGGCAAGAGCTGCGCGCGCATTCAGCCGGTCGCATAGGAAAGCATTTACAATGCTTTCCTATGGACGCTGGCGTGCTCTCACTGTGATTTTCACAGTGAGAAGCACGCAAGCGCTTCTAGTGGCTGTCAATGAGACAGCCACTAGAGGATTAGGGGGAAGGCTTAACCCATTCATAAACATAGCAGTTTCTCTGAAACTGCTATAATTATGAAAAAATGGGTTAACCCTAGAAGGACCTGGCACCCAGACCACTTCATTAAGCTGAAGTGGTCTGGGTGCCTAGAGTGGTCCTTTAATAAAATGAAGTTTGGCACTTAGAGCACATCTTATCTATTTTTCCATTTAATTATCTATTTGGATTTGCATTACATAAACGCTCAGGGAGAATGCTTTAATCTAAATTCTAGCTAAATGCCCTTTAATCTAAACTCCGTTTGCAAAGGATGATGGGAATCTCAGCTCTCCAAAAGGACAACACATTATGTTAACGCACATATGTGCTTATGAGTGTATGTTAACAGGATGTAATTTCTGAATTCACACTATTTTACGTCCTTTGGAAGCCCATAATACATGGGTACATTTTTCCGTTCGGTAACAGTGCTACCTCTGTTCAAACTTACTCTGAAAGGCTGATCCGGTATAAAAGGGAAATAAGGAATAGCTGTTTCGTTTTCTCCCCACTCCCCAGACACACAAGCTCTCCGGAGAAGTTGTTTGTCAATGAAATCTGCTTTTAGATCAAAAGCCACGTCAGCAGCTGGTTCTCCTAAATCCCCACATGTCAGCCTGATCTCGAAGCTGAGAAAAAGAAAACAGTTAAAAATTATACAAAATGATTTCACATAATGTACAGCTGATTCTGTCTGATCTCAATGTTTTGTTTTGGTTTTTTTTTTTTCCATTGCTACTCTGAGTGCAATCAAGACTCTATTTGAAATCCCTGTATAAGCATGCTAGATAAGAAATACAAAACATATGAATATAGCACGAACCCACCCCATGATAAAAGGCTTTTTATCAGCAAAGCCGACATATGTAATAAGTCAATTATTTTAACCTATTTCAATTTGTCAACTGAGCTGATAAAACCATAGTAAGATCGACAAAATAAAGCCAATGAAAACTCCAAATGGATTGTGGGTAAGTCCATTTTTACCACGATCTCCTCCTTGGAAGGCAAAGATTATTAGCTTAGCCAACACAAATCTTATAGCCAGACTAAAGCAAATCAATACAAAGCACTAGCCACAGGGGGATATTTATTAAACAGTGAACTATAGTAAGATGAAAATCAAATTGTAAGATTTGGGCTAAAATACACAAGTTATGCCTATACCTGAGTTGGTGTTTTTTGTTTTCTATTTCGTTTTCACTTTATCCGCTATTTTTGCCTAAATTTTGTAATTTGGTTCTCTCAATACTTAAAAATTCAGCCATTTAGTGGATAAAATCAGAAGGGTTCTTACCTCTCTGGGTTTACCCCAACAATCCCCATAATCAATATTTTCTTTCCTGGTCTCATCCCTCCTTTTATATGGCCACAAAAAGGAATGGTCTAGAAGAAAAAAGTATAAAATAAAAATACAAAGCCACGACCTAATTCTCTGAAATTAAAAATACACAGCGTCTCCTGAGTAAAGGAAAATAAATTCACCAAATACAAAAATACACATTTTGTGTTTCAGTGTGAAAGAGTTGACCTTTCTTTGCCAATACATATATTTAGCAATTCCCTTTCCTTGATGGAACTTATGTTTTATAGTTTATTGGTTATTTTTAGAAGCATGGGAGAAGAAATTTATTTTGATAACATCATCTTCTAAGCCTTAAAGAGACAGTCCGAGCTTCATAGCTCACTGTAGTCATTTTGGTGCTATGGGCCTATGGAAGCTGTTGTCCAGTTTATGGCAGATTGCTTCTTTAAAGGGACACTGTATGCCCCATCCCGGCTGCAGCAGGTTTCTGAAATTTATGTTTCAGGAAGCGTGGAGTACCGCCGCGGAGGGGTGTCACTGATTTGTTGAGAGCGATTAGCTGACGCTCTCAGCCTATCAGTGATTCCCTATTCACAAAACTGGCTTGACAAAGGTAAGTTATTTTTCCAAGAAAGTTTTGTGAATGGTCACTGACCAGTTGACCGCTCTCTGCCAATCAGTGGCAACCCCTGCCTGACGGCACTCCGCGCTTCCTGAAACTGAAATTTTAGAAGCCGAATGCCACTTGGGGGTCCTGAGGATTGGTGGTTGAGGCTGCTTTGGCGTTAAGCCAATCAAGAACAGTTTAACCCCTTGAGGTAAGAGTGTGTTTGATGGCCTCCTGTGTTTGATGGCCTCATTTAGATAAAGTTTTTATGGTGCCTGGAATGTGCCTTTAAAGTTTAATTTACAGAGCAGGAGATAAAAACTTCTAAAGCAAGCTAACATCTGATTGAAAATTAAACTATTTTTTTTGCAAGCTGTGGTTACAGCCGGGCATGGCCGGCCCAAGACATTGTGCTGGATCCAAGTATGAAATGCTGCCCTCCCCCCAAAAAAACAACATACATGCTCCTGCAATAGTAGTGTCTCTATGTGGGTGTGCTGGGGATGAAGTGTGTGTCTGTCTGTGTGTGTGCTGGGGATATAGTGTGTCTGTGTGTGTGCTGGAGATGAATTGTGTGTCTGTGTGTGTGTGTGCTGGGGATGTAGCGTGTGTCTGTGTGTGCACTGCAGCCAATACACTTACCTATACACTGTGTCTGTGTATATGCATGTGTGTCAGTGTTTGTTGTATCTGTGTGTCTGTATCTGAATGTGTGTCAGTGATTGTATCTGTTTGGTCTATGTATCTGCATGTGTGGCAATGTTTGTGTGTTTGTGCAACTGTATTTGTGTCAATATATGTATCAAAAACCGACACACATGCAGATACTGACACACATACAGATGTACAGACACACTGATACGCCTGCAGATACACAGACATACAGACATTACACGCAGACACATACAGACACTGACGCATACAGATACAGACACTTCCACACATGCAGATACACAGACATAGAGATACACACACTACACACACAGATACACACATACAGACATACACAGATACACAATACACACACTACAAATACAGAGACATTCTAGTGCTGCATAAACAGAAATAAAAGTGATTTACTATCTAAATGGCAGGGAATTAAGCAATAAGACTGCAGGGGCATGATCTATACACTAAAACTGCTTCATTAAGCTAAAGTTGTTTTGATGCCTACAGTAACTCTTTAAATCTTGTGTATTTATATTCCACTTCCTTTTGTATAGCACTGGACATTATGCTGGGGTTAGATTTTTTTTATTATTTAAACAGAACTTCTTTATTTTACATACCTCATCAAGCCGCACGTCATACTTGAACGAGAAATGAGATGTGTATGGGATGTAATAGTAAACATTTAAGAGTCACATAGCTGAATTGTGCATTATTTACTGAAAGGCCACAACACCACATGTGATCTTCTGCTGCCTGCATACAATTTCTGTTATATCTTTCAGATATATATGTAATACATATGATTATATATCCAGCCTGGGGGTAGATGTGGGTAGACATTATCTAGTTAGTTCCAAAAACAACACAGTGATTATTCTGCTTGCGTTCTGTGTGCATCATCACATCATTTGCCTGTGTATGAAAAGCTATTCGTCTGGTTATCTATTCAGCTGTACTATTAGAAATTGGATAGAAAATACAGCGTATGTGAGATGCTAATAATGTGTGAGACTATCAGGATTATTTACTAAACTCCAAATTGTACTGAATGAAAACAGGGATGCTGGAATTTTTAGAGTGCCTATGTTATGTGACTATGTGAGTGAGTGAGTGCGTGAGTAGGTCGATAGTGGTTGGTTATTTAGTACGTAGCTGAATGGGTGTGAGCTAATAGGGTATGGGACTGTGTTGGTCACTAAATGGGTGGAAGTGACTGGCAAGGTTATTTATTAAATCATTGGGAATTGAACTAGGAGTGACTGGGTGCTTATGGAAGCTCAGAGGGTGTGCAGGATGGGTGTAGGTATTGTGAATTGAAGGGGAATGTACAGGGTGGGTGTAGGTATTTTGAACTGAAGGGGAATGTACAGGGTGGGTGTAGATTCAGGAAGGAGAAAATGAATGGACAAGGTGGGTGTAGGTGTTGGGAGGAGAAGGGGAAAGTACAGGGTGAGTGTAGGTGTTGGGAGGAGAAGTGGAATGTACAGGGTGGTTGTAAATTCAGGAAGGAGAAGGGAAATGTACAGGGTGGGTGTAGGTGTTGGGAGGAGAAAGGGAATGTACAGGGTGGGTGTAGGTGTTGGGAGGAGAAAGGGAATGTACAGGGTGGGTGTAGGTGTTGGGAGGAGAAGTGGAATGTACAGGGTGGTTGTAAATTCAGGAAGGAGAAGGGGAATGTACAGGGTGGGTGTAGGTGTTGGGAGGAGAAAGGGAATGTACAGGGTGGGTGTAGGTGTTGGGAGGAGAAAGGGAATGTACAGGGTGGGTGTAGGTGTTGGGAGGAGAAGGGGAATGTACAGGGTGGTTGTAAATTCAGGAAGGAGAAGGGGAATGTACAGGGTGGGTGTAGGTGTTGGGAGGAGAGGGGGAATGTAAAGGGTGGGTGTAGATGTTGGGAGGAGAAGGGGAATGTACAGGGTGGAATGCATATGCTGAGAGGTGACGGTGAATGTGCAGGGTTGTTGTAACTGTGAGCTGCGGATGATGTGTATGTGGTTGCTATGTGGGATAGGAAGCTATTGAGGTTGCTTTCTAAAGCACTGAGAGTAGAAGTATTTTCAGGTTAATTTATATGATGTAAGGATTACAGTATCCATTATGTTTAAAATGCTACTCATTTGAGCACATTTGGATAATTTAGAGGAACAACAATTACAAGTCTAGCCTGTTTGTTACAATTTAATGGGCATACTAAATTAATACAGTATGTCGGTTGCTATATTGAAAATGTGTTGCAGTTATCTAAAATGTCAATTAAGCTGCGGCTCTCCTTATACTGATATTTTATAGCAGTGGGTTTATGGCCATTCTTATTGAATGCCTGCAGGAAGATTAACCCTCTGAGTTCTCATTAGAATGCAGAACAGACATAGGTTACAGTAAACATTTGCCAAGTGCTGCAAACTGCACCAAAGGCCCAACAAAGAAAGAGGTCTGCATTCCACATGTGCAGCCGTTTGATACAAACAGGAATGAGAGCCAATAACTACTAATAAATACCGTGCATTTGATGGGTGCTTGCTTTTTAGGAAATCTAATATGGCCATTGGCCAAACGACTCAACAATTGAGTTCAATTGGCTTTTTCAATTGCCGGGTTAACCATGTGTAACATTTGCCAGGTTAACACAGCACATAACAAACAATGATCTTGTAATGCGAGGAAGATGAGATAGACCCCCAGATACAGTAGAACTACAACTCCCATGATGCCGTGCCTACTTTAGGGGATTATTTGGTGGATCTACCTTTTGTATAACTCTGATCTAAATTGTCTTCTCGTGATGAAAGAGTATTTTCCTCTGCAGTTTTACAAATTTGTACTGTGTAACTTTTGCCATTAGCAATAATTTCATGTAACTAGGTCATTATGGTTAGAGCCAAGACAAGCCTCGAATTTCTAAAGGGTCCAAAAAATACCTCCCTGCAAACATGTACGCCCTGCCAGTAATCTAGCAGAAGGAAGGGGATCAGTGCTTTCTATGGCACACATCTCTGTATGTGTGTTCCCTTGCTTGTCCTTGTTGAAGAGGAGATACAAGCCAATGTTGGCTCCATTCCACATAGGCTCATCTATCTCTTGGTCACACCGCTCTTCATAGTAAGAAATAACACACTGCTTTCTCTGCTTGGAGTAAAAGTTGGAAATATGTGTATGTCTTGCTTTGTATTCCATTGTCTGTTTAACCCCTGAAGGACACATGACGGAAATATTCCGTCATGATTCCCCTTTATTCCAGAAGTTGTGTCCGTAAGGGGTTAATCTAGGCTGGATTCAAGAAAATTGAAATAAGACGTCTAACACACCCTGCTTAAATCATTATAACTTCAGAAGAAATGCAGCAAACCTGCCGGTGTTACATAATGATCTAATATTCATTTTAACATTTTAAGACAGTGATGAATTAGCCCTGAGCAATAAGGTGGTATGAAAAGAACGTATTTGAAAATGCCAAAAATACTCAATCTCTTAACGTGTATATTATACATGTGACAGATTGAGACGAGAGAGAGGTGTAAAAAGGTGTGATACTGTGTACTTACTATCATACAATCGGGGATGATAAAATCTACCAAACTAACAATAAACAATACCAATGATGACCTATGCATCAGATGCAAGGAAACAAACATAACGTGTAAAAAAAAAGGAATTGCAGTTATTCAAGCACTTTGGGTAGGACCCCATCAGAAAATTGTTGATAAATTAATTTAATTTAAATTTTGTTGATTTAAAAAAAAATCCTGCTAGACTAACCCAGAGATAGGCAACCTTCATTACAACCAAAATGCTGGCAAAGCATGGGGTGAGATGTAGTCTACAACATTTGAGTGCCGAAGGTTGCCCACGACAGGATAAAACTATCAACATTTTTTCCAGGGGCAATGACACATGATCAGTCTATATCAGGGGTAGGCAACCTTTTAGCAGCACTGTGCCGATATAGGATTGTGATGTCCCGTAGCATGCCAATCCTATTTTTTTTTTAAAATTGAGGTGTGTATGTTGCCGTATTCTGCTTGTGTTATTTTTACTGTAATTGCTTTGTATCGTTGTATTTGTCCGTATATGAGCTATTATATTGTATATGTTCATTAGTAGTTTATGGTATTGTGTATGTTACATATAAATGTGGGCTGTGTATGGGGGCTGCTTGTGGAATTGTGTGTGTGAATGGAAATGTCACATTGTGTGTTTGGTAGTGTGTGGGGGCTCTTTGGGGTATTCCATGTGAGAGGCTGCATGTGGGGTTGTGTGCATGTATGTGGATTGTTAGCGGCTTATGTTTGTACGGATTGCGTGTATTTTGTGTGTGGACTGTTCATATTATTTGTATGAGGGGAAGGTTAATCTGCATTTCTGTGTATATCTAGCAGTGTGGGTGGCTTCCCTGGGTTCCAGTGGGGACCAGGCTGGCCAGGTACAGGTCAAGGACAGGAGCAGTAACAGCAGCTGCAGGCTGGATTCCCATTCACAAGTGCTGGGAGGAAGTGATCTGAGATCACTTCCTCTATGTGCTGCAATGCATAAATTGAGAATTGTCCTTCACCACCTTTTCGTATTAGCAGATATCTGAAGTTTCACTGGGACTTCTGATAGGTCAGACACTGTTTGGCTCTAGCAGCCTTGAGTGCCGTGCAAAGACACCTTGAGTGCCATGCAAAGACACCTTGAGTGCCGTGCATGGCACTAGTGCCGAAGGTTGCCTACCCCTGGTCTATATCAACAAGTGATTTCTGAAATGCGCCATTTAATCTTCAGTAGGGTTTCTGAGCAAGGGCGTCCTCTGTATAATAATTCAAAATCCTAACAAACTCATACTTACTACTTAACCCCTTAAGGACACATAACATGTGTGACATGTCATGATTCCCTTTTATTCCAGAAGTTTGGTCCTTAAGGGGTTAAAGAGCAGTCTGGAGGTAAGGAATAGAGCTTGTAATGTAAAGCTTTGGTTTTATCCTGCATGGTTTTTTTTTCTGCTCACTCATACTTCTAATTTTAGTTATTTCGTTTTTACAGGTGTGTTGTAATTAGCAAATTAAATATATATATATATTTTCAGACAGTCATTTTGATACTTCAGAATTATAATAGAAGGGGAGTAGAGTCAAATTTAATAGATGTAGTCTGTGATTCCCACCTAGTAAAATTTCAGCTTCCACAAATAGTTTCTAAAACTTGCATCATGAAACACCTAAACATGTCTATTGGTGTTCTAAATTAAAAGTGAGAAAATGTATTTGACCTGACGTAATCTCTCTTTTATTTCATAAGGTAGATCAATTTTTTAATATCCCATCGTGCACGCTGGGTGACATCACACTATGCAATAAAAAGCGTAATACTGTGCACAGCAGTAAAGGCCATAACTTTCAGCAAAGCACAGTGGGGTCAGGAAGTATTTAGTATGCACTCACATAACAAATAAAAACGTAATTACAAGTACCTCACATATATAACATTAATGTGTTGCATGCCAGTATGTTGGGAGTTTCCTTGTATCAAGTACTTTTACAAGGTGTCATAAAGCAATAATGTGCAAGAAAAATGGTGCCTTGCTTTTTTTATGTTTTTTATGTTGCAGGATGAGGCAAAATATAACTCCCAAATCTAAAAATAGTCAAATAAGCAAGACACAATGGAATCTATTTACATAAATTATATTTATTATTTATTATTATTATTGCAATTTATAAAGCGCACACAGATTCCGCAGCGCTGTACAATTAGTTGAGAAACGTACAATATACACAAACAAATACAAGAGGTAAGAGAGCCCTGCCCGTAAGCTGATATCTAGCCATTGGAGCTCTTTTATGCAAAGTGCTTAGCTAGATGGCCCTTGAGCTTACAATCTAAAAGATACCAGGGGGATTTGAGACAAAAGGTAGGGGAAGTTTGGAGGTGATGGCTGAAAGAGTTAACAGAGAAGCAGCTATTGGTAAGATGTTAGGGGAATGAACAGGTAATTGGGTGAGAATCTTGAACAGCTGGAGGAGCATGCTATATATTTAAGGGGAGCCTGGATGGGTGGGAAGTGGGGAGAGAAAAAAAATGCAGTCTTCACTGAGTTGATTGTGAAGTGAGGCCTGAGAGTGATGGGTGTTTCTGCAGGATGGTAAATGCAGTCTTCACTGAGTTGATTGTGAAGTGAGGCCTGAGAGTGATGGGTGTTTCTGCAGGATGGTAAATGCAGTCTTCACTGAGCTGATTGTGAAGTGAGGCCTGAGAGTGATGGGTGTTTCTGCAGGATGGTAAATGCAGTCTTCACTGAGTTGATTGTGAAGTGAGGCCTGAGAGTGATGGGTGTTTCTGCAGGATGGTAAATGCAGTCTTCACTGAGCTGATTGTGAAGTGAGGCCTGAGAGTGATGGGTGTTTCTGCAGGATGGTAAATGCAGTCTTCACTGAGCTGATTGTGTGAGAATGCTGCAGGATGGTAAATGCAGTCTTCACTGAGCTGATTGTGAAGTGAGGCCTGAGAGTGATGGGTGTTTCTGCAGGATGGTAAATGCAGTCTTCACTGAGTTGATTGTGAAGTGAGGCCTGAGAGTGATGGGTGTTTCTGCAGGATGGTAAATGCAGTCTTCACTGAGCTGATTGTGAAGTGAGGCCTGAGAGTGATGGGTGTTTCTGCAGGATGGTAAATGCAGTCTTCACTGAGTTGATTGTGAAGTGAGGCCTGAGAGTGATGGGTGTTTCTGCAGGATGGTAAATGCAGTCTCACTGAGCTGATTGTGAAGTGAGGCCTGAGAGTGATGGGTGTTTCTGCAGGATGGTAAATGCAGTCTTCACTGAGTTGATTGTGAAGTGAGGCCTGAGAGTGATGGGTGTTTCTGCAGGATGGTAAATGCAGTCTTCACTGAGCTGATTGTGAAGAGAGGCCTGAGAGTGATGGGTGTTTCTGCAGGATGGTAAATGCAGTCTTCACTGAGTTGATTGTGAAGTGAGGCCTGAGAGTGATGGGTGTTTCTGCAGGATGGTAAATGCAGTCTTCACTGAGTTGATTGTGAAGTGAGGCCTGAGAGTGATGGGTGTTTCTGCAGGATGGTAAATGCAGTCTTCACTGAGTTGATTGTGAAGTGAGGCCTGAGAGTGATGGGTGTTTCTGCAGGATGGTAAATGCAGTCTTCACTGAGCTGATTGTGAAGTGAGGCCTGAGAGTGATGGGTGTTTCTGCAGGATGGTAAATGCAGTCTTCACTGAGTTGATTGTGAAGTGAGGCCTGAGAGTGATGGGAGTGATATTTAAGGAAAGTGATTTCAAGTCTGCTGGTTTAAGCAGCCCCACACTATTCTAATAGGCAACAATGGAAAACAATTTAATGGGACTTGGGCCTACTTGAAAATTTTCCGACTATGACATCACTCGTGATGCTGCATACAGTATTAATGGAGCTGTTAAATTGTCTGGAAGGGAAACCAATCACACAGCTACAATACTGATGAAAGAAGGGTGAGCTTTAAACTCACCAAGCACACCATGAAATTACTTTTAATATAGGCATTTGTCATGAACACATCCTACTTCAAAAGTGTGTGTGACATAGTTGTGGTGGTGAAGGAGTTAAAGTTCACTATTTGTCTGCACTAGACCGGAAATAATGATAAAATCACCAGCCACACTTAAGCATAATAATATAAATATTACTATTTTAATGCTGCCACCACAAAGGCAATTTATAAATGGGGTGCCTTGGTAACACAAGGCTTGTTTTTCTTGAAAGATAATTATCATTAACATATGAAAGAAATCAACTCATCAATTAGGAGGTACAGGCCATATGGCTGAAGCCAGCTAGTTTACATTGGAACTAGACATCCAGGCATCTCAAGTGTAGAATCTCACACCCTGCAGAGCCTTTGATTAATCAAAGGATCAATCTATGTCGCAAACCATCTGCCACCCCCCTTAACATTCCTATACCATTTACATTATCACTTCTGTCAACTGACCTTGCATCCAATTGGTCAATTCATATATGCACTACACAAATTACATTAAATGCCAATATTCTATTGTGCAACAATGAATTATGCACCCTTGGCGTGACATAGGCCTTTTTACATTTCTATACTTTAATTCCTAGTTTCACTATTTAAACTAGAGTAAGCTGACTCTACAGCTGCCTTATTTGTATTTGTTAGCTCTATACCCAATGGAGACACAAGTCCCAGCCAATCAGCAGTGACTATCAACAGACCACATTCTATCACTGTTACTGCAGTAAAAAAAAAAAAATTCCGTTTACATATGTTCAGTAAAGGGGCATTGGCGATTTCTTCTTTAGAGGATATATAGAAAACCTAGGGTTTACAATTACAAGAAAGTCATGATTGTGGGAGACCAAGTCAACTTCTATGCGTCTAGCTGAATCATGTAGCAGTTGCACATTTCAAAAAGCTTTTTTTCTTTTCCATTCATTAGACACTGTATTTTTAACATTTGTTTTTGTAAAAGATGCAAACATTAAAGGAACACTATAGGGTCAGGAAAAAAACATGTATTCCTGATCCTATAGTGTTAAAAATAGCCCCCCTGGCACTCCATTGCACCCCTAAATACAGTAAAATTGTACCTTTATTCCAGTCTGCTACTGCTGGCTCTGCTCCTGATCTGCCTGCTTGGCTGACATCATCAGAATTGGTGTTCAAAGCCAATCACAATGCTTTCTCAAAGGAAAGCTTTAGATTGGCTGAGCTTGTCAAGGAGGCAGATCAATGACAGAACCAGCACTGCCCCAGGAAGCACCTCTAGTAGCCATCTGAGGAGTGGCCAGTGCAGGTATCCATATGCTGTAATGTAAACACTGCATTTTCATGAAAAGACAGTGTTTACTGCAAAAAGACATAAGGAACTGATTATATTCACCAGAACAAATACAATAAGCTGTAGTTGTTCTGGTGACTATAATGTCCCTTTAAAAAAAAAAAGGAAGAAAAAAGTTTTATGCCACCTAAAAAGTTCTAACATCTCATTGAAGTGCTGTCTCTGGTTCAACCATAGAGCACTGGCACAGAGCAGCAATCCAAAATAACCTCTTTATGTGGTATTATATATGGTCCAGTACCATCTTTCCTTACTTATTAAAGAATACGTGGAAACATTAATTGAAGGGTTCATCTCAACTCTTGTCTGGTTTTAAATTCAGAATCATTCCAAAAATGTAGCTATTTAAATCAGTAAAGAAAGACCCCAAACAGTCTGTTGGAGGCTGCTGGAGAGTTTCATACAATACTATAAGTGAGACAAGACCATATTCCTTATTTGAAAATGAATACCACATAAATGGGTTAGGCAAGAAAGGTTATTCATTAAACTGGGAATATGTGGAATAATGCCAAGCAAATTGTACATTTTAACTGCTAAGCTACAAAGCATCTCCAAATCAGCCATTTTTCCAAATCAACCATTTTCCCTGATGATTATTAGTATTGATATATCATATTCTGCAACATTTCAGTAAATTTTCATTCTCACACACTGACAGTATGTAACAAAACCGATATCTGTTTCTAAGTCCCAAAGGACTTTATACTCTTATGAACACACTTAAAGGACCACTATAGTGCCAGGAAAACATACTCGTTTTCCTGGCACTATAGTGCCCTGAGGGTGTCCCACCGGGCTCTAGGGGGAGGAAGGGGTTAAACTTACCTCTTTCTCCAGCACCAGGTGGGGGACTCTCCTCCTCCTCTTTGGCTGAATGCGCATGCGCGACAAGAGCCGCACGTGCATTCAGCCAGTCCATAGGAAAGCATTCTCAATGCTTTCCTATGGACGCTGGCGTCTTCTCACTGTGAAAATCACAGTGAGAAGCGCGGAAGCCCTCTAGCGGCTGTCAATGAGACAGCCACTAGAGGCTGGATTAACTCATTTATAAACATAGCAGTTTCTCTGAAACTGCTATGTTTATAGAAAAAAGGGTTAAACCTAGTTGGACCTGGCACCCAGACCACCTCATTAAGCTGAAGTGGTCTGGGTGCCTATAGTGGTCCTTTAATTGAACAGCCTACTGCCTATCAAACTTGTCAGTTAGAAATGACTTGTTTATGTCGTATGATGGCCCTTTAAAAATAATGATCTTTTATAAGTGATCCCCCACTATATACCTATAAAAAGATAAACAAGAATCAATCTTTGAAAAAACAAAATGTTTTGTCATAATTTAATTTCATAAACTTACTTTACATCCTCTGTTTGATATATTACATTTTGTTTTCTATAATAATTCTGCAGTAATCGGGGGCTTACATTGGCTTGATTTAGTCAGATTTCTGTATTTTAAATAAAAGAAATAACAATTTTAAAAAATATTGTTCACTTACCAGGCGAGGGAAGTAGACTTCTGCTTGCACAGGAGACCCTAAGGGGCTGCTCAGACGCCTTCCATCCAACTGCTAAAAGAACAAAGATACAGTTCGTGATGATGCTGAAATCAGGTAGAGAACTTTTTAGTTTTTTTAATCCAATGCTAAAGTTTTTATCTGCAGGTACATATAAACTGTGACACTAAGTAAGGTACCGTCAGGATTAAGCAGCTGTGGTTTAAACCGTATTTATAGTGCAATCCCTGTGTAAACAGAAAGGGAAAAAGTGACTTCAAAGTTTACTTTTTTTTTTTGCTTGCTTAAGGACCTTGTCTGACGGCCAATGTCCCTTAATGGCATAACAATCCAAGTGCAATTTCAATTTCAAAGGCTTTTTAAACTCACGTTTGAGAGCATCACATCCTTTGCTATATTATATCAGTGTTAACTTTATGTATCACACCCCAAGTTTGCCGATCTTAAAGAAACACGTCTGATATATGGGAACAATGGGTGAAGAGAACCCTGCCCAAATGAGATTAAAATCTAAAAAGTTAAGGGTAAAATATGCAGAAGGTAGTGAGGGAATCAAATGATCTGTAATTGTTCTATGTTATCTGTAGTGTCAAGGCCAAATTTATCGGGACCATTTCTTTCCCAGTACGTCCTTAATAGTAGTGAAATATTGGTACTTTTGCTCATATCTGTCTGCCTGACTGGATATATAATTTTGTCAATTATACATTTTCTTAATTTATTCACAACCAAAAATTTTTTAATTTAAACCAAATTTTCTGCATATACCTTAAAGGTTGGGAGGGGTGTTTGCGAAGATAGAGTACACTGAATTGGAGACAGCAGAGGAAGGTTGACAGGGATAAGGAGTTATAGGCTTCTCTGAACAAGTGTGTTTTAAGAATTTTTGTAGGACTGCCGAGAGACAAGGAGAGTCGAATCAGGCATTAGAGCTTGGGCATTCCATAAGAGAAGTACTTTGAATAGAATCCTAAAAGATACGGGAAGTTAGTGTAGAGGCTGACAGTTTGGTTTGAGAATTGTTGAATGTAAAGTAGATGAGTCTGTTAGGAACCTTTATTATGGGCCGTAGAGGGGTAATCTGGGCACATTTCAGGCCAATAAGCAGAGGGTTTCAATAATCAAGGCGGGGGAGCATGAATAAGATAAGACAGCTGTTACTAATGTCAGTTTTTGCAACATAATACCTCAAGTGAAAAAGTGAGGCCATAAATGATTACACGCATGTAACACGTTTTCAGTGTTATTTAATCAATTATGTATGTTGTTGGAAGGGCATGTCATTGTATGCGACTTGCCTTTATTGTTTCGGAAAGGCGGCTCTGTAAATTACAATGGTAAGTAGAGTATGTTTATCAAGGGTGGGAGACTGCACTGTATTCATGAAATTAAAACATTTCAAAGAATTCTATGGAGAATGTAATGGAGGTCAGATATCCCTAAAACTTAATTCATATGTTAACAAATATGAAATACCCTGGTCGGTTTCAGGCTACAAAAATAGTTGCCTGAGAGCCTAATCCGGCATATGACATTTCTATCTTAATTTATCCCACCAAGATGGTAAGAACTTTATGCTTACATAGTATTTCAGCAGTATGTCCATTTGTCAAGGAGGCCACACGTGTCTGAAATGCTACCAAGTTTTGCAAATACTGCTGTTAACGTTCCAAGATTTAATGCACTAGGGCTGAAGATTCTGGCCTTGGACGACCTTTAAGGTGCTGAGGATTTTATCTCTATCTCTCGCATTAAACAGTATATTACAGTTGAATGAAGCATATTTATTAAGATAGGAGGTTTCACTTATTCCTGTTTACATTTGAGTATAACTGAAATACTCAATAATTCTACAATGTCTTTGGAGGCACATCAATTCACTCATTAGTTCATTAATATACAAATAAACATGCAGGTTCTAAAGCTTTTTAAGAAATATTTTCTGTGCATCGTATCTCGATACTCGACACTCAATTTATATATTATATTCCCTCTACAAATACATTATGGGTAGATTTATAAAAGAGTTGCTAACAAAAAAAAACTAGGGCATAGTTCTAAAACTGAAGCAATCACTATGGAAACCAATGGAATCTGCAGTAAACTGGTTTCCATGGTGACTGCTTCACTTCTAGAACTTTGCCCCACTTTTCTCTTAGTGACTTTTTTTTTAATAAATATCCACAATGAGTCCCAGAGGCATGTCTATTGGAATTTCGAGATAATCTCTGTGGTATTTTGTATAAGATGTTTTACAAATACATATACAGGGATGCAAACACAGATGACCTACATAAAATAACAGCCTTACCTAGCAACCAAGGATTTAAATAAATAATATTTTCAGCGATGAGTTAACTTTCATATTTCTATATACAAAAACAAAAGAAACTGAGATTCCATCAAGTCAGGTGCCTGTTGGGTTCAGTTTTATGAACTCAGAAGTAAAAGTAAAACCATGATTACCATGCGCACAAAGTCCACTAGTGACTGATTGGGTTCCTTCTTGGGCAAAGTGCAAAATTAGCACCAATCACTAATGAATCAAATAGAATGTCTAATAGCACCTACTTTGTCTTGATCAGTCTCACCTAACATGCTTTGTTGCCACATTTAAAAAAAGAAAAAGTACCATTACAATCAGAGGCATTTCTCGTCTGTTTGCAACAAATTCACAGATGACAAAAATGGACGTTTATGAAAATATAAATACTTCTCCCATGGCATTATTGTAGCAGCAGAGTGGAAAAAACTAAGCATAATGGTGTTTTCAGTGTTATTCCCAAAATAGATGTTGGTGTGAGGTTCCATTCGTGTAAAAAGGCTGTTATACTGTATATTAAGCCCCCAGTCGTACAGTGCCAAAAGTGAATGTCCAGGCAGGCTGATATACTTACATTTACTGTGCTAAGAACACTGAAATGAAAAACAAACTAATAGAAGATGACTAATTATATATATATATAGAGAGAGAGAGAGAGAGAGAGAGAGAGAGAGAGAGAGAGAGAGAGAGAGAGAGAGAGAGAGAGAGAGAGAGAGATATTGACTAATTATATATATTAGAATGTAGATATGAAGGCACTCACATTTATCCGATGTTTGAAGAAATAAATCCTTTGATTATAATGCCTCACAGTGGAACAAAAATACAATTTGAATGCAGAGATGGGCACTCATAGGACTTTACTTTAAAAAATAAAAAGGATTTTATTTGTGTAGCGTCAACGTTTCGGACCCACTCGTGGTCCTTTCTCAAGACCATATATATATATATATGTGATTAGTCATCTTCTATATATAGTTTGCTAGTTTGTTGTGCACATATATATAAATACACACACACACACACACACACACACACATCCTCTTCTATAATAACAGGGGGCAGAGTTTTAAACACAGGGGCACTTGGCACATTTATTTTGCTTTCACTATATCTGATGACAGCTCCCCACAAGGTCACATCAGTGAGATCTTTCATACACTGGAAAATAATGACCAGCACCGGTCATAAGGACACAGTCTCTGGATAGTAACCATTCCTCCTTACACACATTGACGCTTTCCCTGTATTCATAGTCACACAATCCACACACTAGCTTGCCCTGGACAGCTCCTCGTTCTTGTTCTAAATCCATCTTCAATCCCTTCCTCCTTACTATTTAACCTCCCAGAGCTCCATGCAATATAAAATGGCTTGTTCAAAGCAGGCTGCAGCCAACAAAGCACTGAGCGGCACGTACAACCAGCTTTTATATCTTAAATAAGCAGTGTGCTGTGTTAACGCTATGAGAGCCAACACATGATTCTGAGATACCTTGTTTCATCAAACAGCACTCCTAGGGTTAATACTCAGATTATCTCTCCCCCTCTCTCTCTCTGTGTAATCTCAGTATATGGGTTATCTGTAGCTCTATATAAACAGACAGTATAGACATTCTCTCCATTCTCTGATGGAATTCTAACCCAGTCAGTAGATACATTGTCTCTCTGTCCCCAGGTGCCTGTATGACAGGGAATCCCCCAGTGCTAACAGGTATGCCTGCTTGGGGACGTGGTCAGGTTGGCAGCGCATGCCATGAGATAGATGGGACTAGGGCAGGCACCAGGGTGGCAAACAGACCCCGCCGTACAGCCTGGTCCCTCCTACTAGACATTATTTATATCTGGAGAATTCCATAGATCTGACATGGATCATGGAACATTTGGCATGCTAAGACTTACCATTGATTCCCTTTCAACAAGGGACCCCGCCATCTTGTAGAGAGAAAGGTACAGTTGTGCAGTGCAGGCTGGAGGAGGACTGGAGGATCAGTTGGAGGAGGTGGTGGTTGCTGGAGCAGGGGAAAGGAGGGCAGGTCTGAGCCAGCTCAGCCACGGATCAGCACAGAAGGAAGCCGGGACTGACCTGGCAGTCTGGGAGCGCTTCCCACCAGCCGACAAGAGGGGAGGTGGTAGTGGAGGAGGGGCTGTTACAGGGCACAACAGATCCCCTCTATATCCAGGAAAGTCTGAGCTGCTGGTATTGGGAATACTGTGTGAGTGTAGTGTCAGCCTCTGCTTCCTGCTCACTATACTCACACTACTTTCTGCTCACTTTACTCACTATACTCACTACTTCCTGCTCACTATACTCACACTACTTTCTGCTCACTTTACTCACACTACTTTCTGCTCACTATACTCACACTGCTTTCTGCTCACTTTACTCGCTATGCTCCTTTCTACTCACTATATTTACACTCACACTGCCTCCTGTTCACTATGATCACAATGCTCACAGTCTCCTGCTCACTTTTCTCACTATACTCATACTCCTTTCTACTCACTATATTTACACTCACACTGCCTCCTGCTCACTATGCTCACACTGCCTCCTGCTCACTATGCTCACACTGCCTCCTGCTCACTATGATCACACTACCTCCTGCTCACTATGCTCACAATGCTCACAGTCTCCTGCTTACTTTACTCACAATGCTCATACTGTCTTTTGCTCACTTTATTCACTATGCGCACACAGTCACCTGCTCACCATTTCTCCTGCTTCCTACTTCCTTTCCTCACCCTGTCTCCTGCTCACTGTGCTCACCCTGTCTCCTGCTCACTGTGCTCACCCTGTCTCCTGCTCACTGTGCTCACCCTGTCTCCTGCTGCACATTCTACCTCATACTCCCTCTGCCTCCTGCACACTCCCAGCCCTGCCCCAGACCAGGCGTGCTGCACACCCGTTGACATGGGACAGGGTGGGTGCACAGGTTGGTGCAGTTCTGCCTGACTCATGCTGGGTGTCAGATAAAGCCATGGACCCAACATCATGCCTGTCAATTACGGCCTGTTTGTATTCGGTGGAAAGGCTGAATCACTCGTTCATTAAATTATATGGGAAAATACCTTTAGGCATTCTGAATTCCTCTGCTGTCATATTTATATGGGTATATACAGATCATATGTTAGGGCATTAAAGTACCCATTCTAACCACTAGCTAGCACATAAACAGGGCAAATATTGCTCTTATGGGTTTGGAGCAAGGAAACACAATAACGTGAGTGAGAGGAATAGGGAAATTAAGGAAGTTCTGTCTAACAGAGGAGATATTTACATTGAAAAGCAATGTATTCATTTTCTTTGGCTTGTGAAATGTTCATTGTTTGTTGTGATGTCTTTGGGCAATGGAGTGCAGAGCTCTGGTACCTGCACCAATGAGGAGTGACCTCCTCAAGATGGTTTCATAAATAGTTACAATTCATTTGCATTACTGCTGTAATGTCTGGTGCAGATCTGGGTTATGTGACCTCTAGTGCACATATTACCCACAATTAGACATGACTGTGTCTGTTCATGGTTTGAGTGAGAGCTTTCTGTTGAGCATCACACCCGAGTCCCAAGCATAGCTACTATGAAGCTACTGTGGTTTATATGTGAGAGTGGAGGTCTGAGTGTTTGAGACCGACCTCAGCTCACTAGATGTTACTAACCTTATATGTTTTTATCTCCTGCTCTGGAAATTAATCAGATACAGGAGCAGGGCCGTCTTTAATACTGATTGGACCCTGGGCAGGTATTTGATTGGGGACCCTGGACCTAACCCTTCCCCTTCCTAGCATGCAATCACGACATCAACGCCCACACAAAAATAAAACACACACTTAGCCCTCTCATTTCTTACTGAGACAAAATACACACACTAACACACATACAGATGCAAACACTGACATACATAGATATGCACACATACACAGGTACAGACATACTTAGAGAGATACACAGACACACAAGTGCATACACAGACACACATACAGATGCACACGATGCACAGATACACTCACTGAAAAACATGCAGATAAACAGAAACACTAACACACACACTGACATACATGCAGATACACACAATAACATACAGATACATACACGGACCCACATGCAGATACACAGATACAGACACTGACACATATACAGATACACAGACACACATGCAGCTACACATACACACAATGATACACATTCAAATACACAGATATAAACAGACAAACATACAGATACACACTGACACACATACACATACAAACATACACACAGATACACATACAAACATATACACATAGACATACACATTTACAAACAGAGACACACAGATACACATATATACAAAGACACATGTGGACACACAGAAACACATACTGATACACAGGGTCACATAGAGCCACATGCAGATACAGAAACACACACACACATACAAACAGATACACACATACATACAAACTAGACACACACATACATTCAAACAGACACTTACATACAGACATACATACAGACACATACATACATCCAGATAGATACATACAAACAGACACATACATACATGCACATTTTTTATGTGTTTCCTACCTTTGGAGTGCAGGAGGCTGGCTCAGGCTGAGCTCCCACTCTGACTCCCTCCTTTTCTTCTTCTTTTCCCGCCCGGCACTCGTCAATGCTGGGAGGAAGTGACCAGTTGTCACTTCCTCCCAGCATCCTGACATCATCACAGGGGGCCCGGTCACGCACTCAAGCGGCCGGGCCCCTGAAAATCCATCCCCATCGGGTGGCCCTTAGCTCATTGGCCACCCGATGAGCCTCCACATCGTACGGCCCGTGGTGGCAGTTCCACGCGGGCCGCACGCACCACGGCGGCCGGAGGGCTATAGGGGCAACTGCTTTGGGCCCCCTAAAACTGACTGGGCCCGGAGCAGCTGCCCCTTTTGCCCCGTGTTAAAGACGGCCCTGTACAGGAGGCTCTTGCAGGGTTTAGAAGGCTATTAACAGAGAAACACATAGTACATTCTAAAATAAACATAATGTGCAATAAAGGAAGTTTAAACATTAGATCTCTCTTTACAGGAAGAGGTTAGGAATGCCATGCAGGTCACATGCAATGAATACAACGAATAGAGCAGTGAGATTGCAGGGGAATGTTCTATACACCAAAACTGATAAATTAAACGGACATGTTTTGGTGTCTATAGTATCCATTTAAAGTTTGCCTTTATTCATGTGTGGGTGCCACTGAGTACTGCTTTGGGTGGCCGTATGTTCTTTTGTGATCCTCTCCTGCACCAATGCAGTACTATCTGTTTTCTACATGTAAGTGTATGATTAATTCCAGGATGAGATCTACAAGGGGTTTAGTCCAAATTTTACATGCTGCTTTTGATAGTGATGGTCCTTTTAATATACTGCATATCACCTTCTTGGGTGGCCAATTGTGCCACCCATGTATGCTATGTATGCTATTTTGTGGTTGGTAATGGGTCTAAAGTTGGTCGGATCATGTTGGTTTAGTGATGGTTTTTTTCTGAAATGCTGATGTCCTCTTTTTGGTCGAGTTACAAGTACACAGTATCTAGTTAGAAAAACTGGAGATAGGTTGTTTACTGAATACTAGTTTGACGTTAGTCATAATAAGGAGGAGATCTTCTGACGATATATGTTTCCAGATGTTTGTCTGTGTCTGACTACATGAAATACATTTCTGCCACCTGATTTTACGAAAATATTGAAATTAAAGTTAAATATCTTAACAATGAAATGAGAGTGGATAATTTTTCATAATTTAAAAAAAATATATATTATTGTTTGGATTTTGCAAATTCTGAAATAGTTTGCAGAATCTTATAGTGGAACTGTTAACCCTTTCAGACATGGGGACACTGCAAAACCCCAACAATGTTAGCTTAATAGCTCCTTATATATATATAAATGTATACATAGGACTGGCATGTATGCTGTACACTGAACTAATGAACACAATTAAAATAATTATCTTAGTGAAGATATCCAAGAGCTGCCTTACAATCCTTAGACGACAACCAAACATTGAGTCAATCAGTAGGGTCTGTTAGGTATAAAACAAATGAGACCATTGTATTTTGTCCACATTTTATTACTGAATAAAGCTTATTTTACTAGCATGTAGAAGGTACTTTTCTTCATATATACGGTTTGATTGCTTTATAAATATGCCTCAGTAGGGGTTACAAAATACTGAATGTGGAGTAATCACCATGAGGCCCAATAGAATGCTAAAATCAATTGCTCTCTTGTAGAATTTTCAACAATTGACCTTCCTGGTAGTGTTGGGCAGCATTGATCAGCAGAGTAAAGTGAAAGCCAACACAGAAATATTAAAAATAACTTTTTTGATTATATTACTAGGTGCATAACATATGTAATGGCTTGTTGTTTACACAGAGTCTATTTAACCCCTTAAGGACCAAACTTCTGGAATAAAATGGAATCATGACATGTCACACGTCATGTGTCCTTAAGGGGTTACAGGACTCTCCTAGTTTCGATCATAGGAAAATTTGTGTTCAGAGGGCAAACATACCCATACCCTTATCATTCTTGTGCTATGTTTAGAAAATAAGCTAGGTCAATATGTTTTTTTAATTTTATTTTTTTATATGATTAGAAAGAAGAGATTACTGGTGTGCATTGTTGAAGTAGCCAAAATGTAGAATGTGTAACAATTGCAGATATAATGAGAATGACTGTACGGATGTAAAAAATAAATGTAATTAATTGTGTGCATTCTTTGCAGTGAGGATATACTATGGTGAAAATGGCTCTGGGCACATTTGCTGGGGGTGAAACGTTACGCAGGGGTACTAGGAGTGCAAATTGCTTTGGGAAGATATGCTAAGAGAAATTATTTTGGGGAGATAATAAAGTGTGGTGGAATTGTTGGCTCTATATGAATGCTAATTATAATAAGCTGTTAACTGAAAAAAATAAATGCTTTACAATGGGCCAAATCTGATGTATCCCTTCTACGAAGTAGTTGTTAAGTAGAAAAAAACCTTGCTTCCCAAAATTATTTTCCTTTTCCTCTTCATTTCCATCCTTCTACATAGAGAAATATATCTCTTTATCTCAACTGGCAAAAAGAAAGCTTCTGGGACCTTCCTACCTAAATCAGATAGATGTGGTTTTACACAGATATATAATTAATATAATTTGTCAACAACTGCCATGATGGCCCAGGTGTGCTTCACAGCCAAAAAACCTAGATGGGGTTTCTTGAATGGCATTCGGTTTGGGGTACCCCTCTTGATAGCTTCCACTGGCTTCTCCAGAATAGATTCCCACATCACCTACTTTTCAAACTCAAACTGTGGCAGCTCTTTTAGTAAATATATGGTCTCTCCACTAGGAGCTTTTACTTCCTCTTGGTGTTCGTCAGACTTGGTGTTATATGTAGCCTGGAATTGGAGAGTGGTATTCCCTTCTCAATCCCAGATTGGCACAGAAATAATTAGAATTAAGTAAGAGTGTAAACCTACCTTCACAATTAAACAGATTCTTCTTAAAAGTAACTGACCCCTCACTAAAAATGTAACATTTTTGAAAATGTTAAAGCCATAAAAAGAAACAAAGGGGTGGGGGGTGAAGGGGGAGGGGAAGGGAGAGAGCAAACTTCTGGACCAAACTTCTGGAATAAAAGGGAATCATGACATGTCACATATGTCGTGTCCTTAAGGGGTTAAACTCTTACCTTTCAATTAAGGCCTAATTGGGAAGAAAGAACCAACTTAACCAATTATATCAACACGTTGGAGCCCATAAGCACAATACAGGCATACCCCACTTTTAAGTACACAAGTGCAGCAGAGCATGTATGTAAAAGAAAATGTACTTAAAGTGAGTCAATACCTTTTTTTACTTCCCAATTGCAATAGTAATTTAAAGGCATAACTGATACTGCAACTGCAGATTTCCAGTGATTTTATTTCCAGTGATTTATTTAGTGATTTCGGAGTCTCAGGGATTCCCATGGTATGTCCAAGCGGTCGTAAAGCATGTGTGTTGTAAATTGAGGCGTATTTGTATTTATTAGGGCCTCTCATTTCTACAAATGACTAGATTATATGCCCCTGTGGTTCTTTTCCATACTCCCTGTGGGGGCCTGGATGAGTGAGCGTCCCTTGATGGCTGTTTGGAGTCGGATAAGTTGTACTAGAGGTGACATATCTTTCCCTATTACTATAGTGATGTGGGTTTGTGGGTTTATTTACCTTCTTTTCTTGTTTCCACTTCCTTCTCACTATATTTTTTCCTAGTGTACAGTTTTTTTGTCTCTTGTTACATTTTCATCTGCATTTTTAGAAACTGTCTTCTAATATAAAGCATCAATGTAGCATCAAAGTATTGCAAGTTAGCATGTATATCTCCCACGTTAAAT